AACAAATTTACCACGAAAATAATAAGTAGGCCACCGTACCGCACAAGAACACGAGATCAGCTCACGGCGGACAATAATGGAAGACCTCGGGCTAGTTGAGCTCGAACTTCGGTTGGAAAGCTAATCATATGTAGGGAATTAGCTCCCGCGTAATTGACAGATAGTCTTCCCTGTGACTCATTTTTGGACTCCTGACCCAGATCCAAAATTCCTTCGGAGCTGAAGTGGGTGTTCCCTTGAATATCAGTGGTCGCGATGATGTTGAGAACTTTTGCAGCAGCCACTACTGAATCTCTTTAGGACGTTTGGGTCACTGCGCCATATACGGAAGTGGAATGTGGGCGGAGCGACGTGGGAATAAAAGTATTGGAGTGACCGTAAGCGGTTGCGGAGAAGCAGTATCAAGAGCGAATTTCTCCAGATCGCTCGCCGACCGGTTGTTAAATAAGTCAGTTATGAGTGTTCTCATTCCCTCACGTTTAGTTTAAGACGTTTCATTTTTTAGGAATCCCGACGAACTGACATCTTCAGTGGTACATTCTTTCTTTGAAAATGAGTTTCTCCGCACAAATTTAATGTCACCCTTGACACCTAGTCGTTTATATGCTGGTGGATTGGTTTTGCTTCAAGAAGACGACGGGCTTAATGAATTGATAGTATTTCATAACACTCCTGTTCTTCCTTTTGCTTATCGACAAGGATCAGTTATACGGAAAAGTCTGTCAAAACTGCCTACTGGCTCCAATATTTTAGTCGAATCTTATCCTTTAAGATAGATTGTCATTCCCTGCTTGTATGTGAATAATTCTTCCCCTTACGGCTGCTGAATCTTTCTGTAAATACGGGTCCCCGGTATTTAGTTTGTTGTGATTCTTCTTGTTCCTTATTCACTTACCTATGTTTTTGATAACATTTCTATGTTTCACACAGTTAGTTACACTAAACAATTAAAAGGTTATTTGAAGTCGAGTTTTACAGTTTCACTACCAGCTTACAAGTCTACCATAGGGGTGCTGACGGCAAAAAAATTTGACCTCAGGTACCTCGCGGCTCGGTTCCACACCTCGCCGCTATACGTAACATCACCATAAAGGCCTTCCTTCATGTCAGCTTTATTGCTTTCATGCCACAGTACTACACCGTTCAAGATGAGCTAGTGACCCCCATACCGCCCAGTAAGCGTAAGGTCCGGGTTGCGCGTGTTAGGACGCTTCGAGGGGTCACCGCTGCCATTTCACGCCTCGCCGCGTGCGACGTGTACTGGGCGTATATGGATATATGGGCGAAATCCTTGCGGTCGTGCAATAGGATCCTACTAAGTTCAAGTAGTTTAGGCAACATGCATCATTAGTACTTTGCCAAATCTTTGGAATAATCAATAAAACACCATCTTGTGATTACTGTTGTGGTTCTTCAGTACGGTATGTATCAAAAAAAGTTGCCATATCCGAAAAAGCCGTAGCTTAAACAGCAGAGCACGCACTGCGCCGCGTTGCACGCCGATCATGGCAGAATTATCAGGACAAGGCACGGCTGATGGCTACTTCATTGCAGTTCTGGTTGCACGGTGATTCCGATGTATGGAAGAACATGCGAACGAGGTTCTTGAAATAGAATCTGTCGCATATATACCTAAGTTACGTGCC